TACAACCTGCTAAAATCTAAGCTGTGATTTTAAGGAATTTTTCTCATCTTATGGAACAAACGTTCTATGAAATTAGGCAGCTGTGCTAGAGATAGGGAGATCATCAGTGTGGAGTGATATGGGCAGTCAAAGGAGACAGTTTCATTGGCAGTGTGAAGAACTGAATTTCTAGGAAAGCACCAGCAGAAGTATCATAGCTGCACGAGCATTTGCATTTCTCAGCTACTCTTCGTCTGTAACCAAGTGGGCCGTGTGGGTGGCATGATAAAACAAATGAGCATTAGGACAACATCATAATATTAGTATCAGTCACAACCCATAGTCAAACCATCATGTCTGATCTGATGCACTTATTGCTCAAACCAAAGATAATTGCAAATACAGTTTAAAATAAAATCCAAGACCATTAAATACATATTTTACACACAGAGAATTAAAATATGGTGTGTAGGCAACTGTATTATGGGATATAGCATAAAAGACTTTTACTGTCAAATCAGCTCCCTTTCCTTCATATCTCTAAACCCTCTGCAATACATATGGTTTGGATGATTGTAATAAATTATTAAACTGAATCCCTATATTTCAGTTTCTTCAAAAGAGAATCGAAATATCTTTCTCTTCTATTTATATATGACACTGGAGAACATAATGAGCCAGGTCCTGAAGGGTTGGTTCTCCAGACACACACAGTCTATCTTCTACTGGGATACCTTGGTATCTCCCCCATTGCACCATAGTATCCATTTAGCCATATCTTAAGCATGTATCACTTTCTGATATTCCATTTTCATATGGATTGACAAATATTTTTGCATCAATGCTATTCTTTTCTTCTTTCTTTCTTTCTTTCTTTATAACATTTCTATGCCGCACCCATCGCAGAAGCCTCGGGGCGGCTCACAACTAATTGAACGGCTCTTGCTAATTGCTTTGATGTTTTTGATGATGCAAAAGCAGTTATATCAGTTTTTGCTCTTATATAAAATACTCTATGTTTAAAGATGTGACTGCTAGATTTTAACACTGAATTTTGTACCTGGTCAGAAAATCCAAAAGTTGGGGGACATTTAAAAAGTTTTTCAAACCACAACTTTCTGTGCACAACTTTATTGCTCAACTTTCTGTTCCTCCAAACATATTTTAGGTAATCTTTCTTCTGTAAAATTGCCTATTTTATGCTAGTACTTATCCATCCTTATATCAATCTGGAATATTTTCAGATCTAATTAAATATGCTGAGGTGGATTTAGAAACAACTAAAAATCAGGTGCAAGCAGCAACTTTCAGTCTTTTCAATTTTCTTAAGATCAGTAAAGTTAATCCATTAATAGATTTGCTATCAACCCACAATTAATGAAGTTAAAGATTTATAAAAAACACTTTTGTTAGTGAGCTCGGTTGGATTTAGATGTACAACTAAGTCAGAGTTAAGCTAAATCATAGTTTAGATTCTGTTGCTATTATTATTAATTATATTTGTATCCTGCCTATTTTCCCTCAAGGAATCCCAGGTGGCTTACATTATCTTCCTTATTCTCTCCCTTTTATCCTCACAACAACCCTGTGAGTAGATTAGGCTGTGATTCAGTGATTGGCTGAAAGTCATAGAGTAAAAGCTTATGTCCAGGCATTGTCAGTGTATCCCATTCTAAAGTGTATCCCATTCTAAGTATCTGCTTGTGATAACAGCATTTCCAAGATGAGGGCATTTTTGTGTGTCTAGACATTTTAGGCGTAGCCTAATATACAGTGTCAAATCTACAATTAAGAGAACAGAGATGGGGAGCTCCTAAGGGCTTAGAAAGCATTGAAAGGATTTTAATACAGACAGCCTTGTTCTCAGCTTTCAGAGTCTGCATATCAGAGATGTGTCAGTTTTTAATAATGCATTATTGAGTTGAGAGACGAAGCAATTAGCTATTTTATTAGATTTTAGAAGTGGTGTCTCTATCTATTAGGTCAAGACAGTGAAATTTTGATGATTTGTTCAAATGTATCCTGCTGCCAAGATCTTAAGAATTAAAAATTTCATTAATTGCTTAATAACTATTCTAAGGCTTGGGGACTTCAAACATCACATGTGCTAATGTTAATAATAGTTGCATGAGTTTAAGCCTCGGATAAGATATTCCTGAATATTTTATTGGTTGTTATTACAACTTATATACTGCTTTATTTGTTAAAATGCTCTTCAGTGGATCATTTTTTAAAGTTAGCAAAATTCAAGGGAAATTTGAGCATGAGTAATTCAAGACTCGGACTTAGATGTTAAAATCAAGGAGAAAGAAGCACTGCAACTCTGCCTTAGATTAAAAACGGAGCTAAACAGGAATTCTAGATTTATGCTACATACCCAAAATGGCAACTTACATAGAAGGAATCACTAGAACCTCTGTCAGGTGTGTCAGAAATGCCCCACAGTTCCTTGTGGAGTACACCTTGGATGATGAACATCTATGAAAATCACTGATGGAGAAAAGTCCATTCCCTGCAGAAGACTGCCTGTGCCAAGGGCTCTGTGCAGAGGCAGTTTCCACACCAGCTGTTTTCACAGCCACGGTTTCCTTATCTTTCTGTTCAGTCCAGTAGCAAATCCAGTGGGAATGGAGAGGCTTAAAAAACCTGCATGGTGCTTTCTATTTTAATATTTCTGAATTTAAATGTTCTGCCTTTTTCAAGAGTTACAACCAGACTCTCATTCATTAAGATAGGGAGATACTGCTTTTGGGACAAGCCTTAATATCTTCCTGGTCTGAGGATTAATAGTCCTTCCACTACATCGCTGTTTTACTACTTATGTGTATGTTCTACAGTCATCTCCTGAGGATGAGTGTGTTGACCTGCAGTGAGACAGACTGTCAAGTAATTAAAAGTATTCTTTACATTTCCACACAGAAATTGACAAAGATTTCAGTTCTAGGATCAGACAATCAAGCATTGTCCCACACGTAGGCCTGTTTCATGCAGCACACAAAAGAGAGTGGGGGTGGGGGTTAGATTGTTTGCTTTTAATTGGAGGAAGCTTTTGTATTGAAATGTCTAAGGAGAGAGACACATGGGGCCAAATATTTGCCCCCAGTTAGCACATTGTAGCTGTGTGAAATCTCTGCTGAAGACTTTTCCATGGTCTAATAGACACTAATAGTTCACCCTTAGGAAGCTTCTCCTCAGCAGCAAGTGATGCAGAACAGGAACTGATGGAGGATACAGACCCAGTGTGCCATGATAATTGGCCACTGGGGATACTGAGTGGCAACTCTTTTCTGGGAGGTCCTGCTATGGAAGAGTCAGGATGTTGCTAATGGCCTGTTGAACACTGCACATATGATTCTCCTATGCAGTGTTGTTCCAGACAGCTTCCTAAGCGCAATCAGTGCTGTTTCAGCAAGACGGTGGAGGTTGCACTGTGGCATACTTTGGCAGGGGTGAAGAAAAGGGTGGCTAGCGGGAGTGGTCCTTAAAAGATAAAAGTGGGTGTCGCGGGTGGGGGAAATGTACAAATGATTATGTGTTGGATTTTAAGAATTCCCGTGACAAGTCATGAAGCAATAATGTATTAGCGTCCTTCTGGGTTTCCCGTTTCATTGAAATCAGGTACTAGTTAGCTTCTTTATATAGTATTTTCTTGAGTTCATAAGTTCAAGAACCAGTGTGGTATAGTGGTTAAGAAGGCTGGACAGGGACTCATGACCTGGGTGCTAGTCCCCACTTGGCCATGGAACCAGCTGGGTGACTTTGGGCCAGTCACAGAGTCACAGATGGTTGTTGTGGGGTAAGACTGAGAGCAGGAGGAGGAGAATTATGTAAACCACCTTGAGTGCCTTAAAAATGGGAAAAGGTTAAATCCAAGATTTAAATCTAATAGATAGATCAGATAGATAGATAGCCATGACATATCTTTCTGTTTGCTTTTGCCCTTTTCTTTTGTTTTCAGTAGATTATTATAAAAATGGTATGTCTGGCCCCAATTATATTTTATGTATGAACAAGAGGATAATTGATCAATGTACACAAGAAGAAGGCCCTTAGTAAAACATATAGAACTTAATGTAGGCCCCTAGTAAAATGTATAGAAATATAGATTATATTTATTTAATAAATATATTTATTAAATTTTAAGTTATTAATTTATTTATAGAAAAGAAGGCCATAGATTTTTTTTCTGTTGAAACAATAGATATAAAAATACTGCCTTTAGTGTCTTCTAAATGGGAAGTGTTTTTAGGCTTGGTATATGACTGCACTGTGATAGCAGGGAAACATACATGCCACGGTAGCTCTCATTAAGTTGATGACTAATCCATGATGTATTTAACTAGATACAGTGCAAGAAACCCAGGTCACATAAAAAGAGTGGAATATTATTCTAGTAAAATCCAGAATAAATTCATACCTATGTGAAGAATCCCAATGCTTAATTTCAGGAAAACTGCTTAAAGACATTGTATTTCAACATAAACTATTTGTTCCACATTGGATGCTTTCTTGAGATAGGATATGATTTCTATATAGGACCTGACATAGCCAAGTCTATCATGATAGGTGGAATGTGTGTAGCCCTGCTTATTGAAGGAAACTTGGACAGTGCAATATTTTTCTCTGAATTCTGCCGCAGTATAAAATACCTTTGGTACTACTATCAAGGGAAAGCTGGCCAACCACTTTGAGATGTGAGATGTGCTTTTAACCCCAACTGTGGGTATTTTATGAATAAATTATGTTCAATTACCTATATGATAATACTGTAAATAAGCATAATTTACTGAAGGGGTTCACTCTCCATTCATATGCAGTCTCTTGGCATTGAAATAAGCCAATGTGTTCTGTATAATTAGATTATCACTCAAGTAAGCAAAAAATATCTTACTAAGAAACTACAGAATAGCTTTTGTTCAGAAGTAAAATCAATAATTGTTGAAGTCATCACTGTTGTGCTCAGCAGTACATGCCATTTCCATAAATAGTTCACTTTCATTTTCATCAATCATGCATTACAGCTGGAGAATGGAAACCTATTGTTGGACATAGATGAAAATCTTGATAGAGTCACTCAGGTAAGCTAATTCTTTGTAGACATAGATGAACTACTAAAAAAACACAGTGTATAAACTGGCTAAGCAGAGATTTGCCCCAGTTACTACAAGTTCTAAGATGTAGGTAAAAAATGCAACTGTTTGATCATAATCCAAGTATCTAACACCCAAGCACTTAAGTATTTTACCTCTTAACCTTCCTTTCATAAGGTGTTACATACTTATAAATCCTAGGAAAAGGTTGATGGATTTTGACCTGTAATTTCAAAACACATAATTGGTGGATATGAGCAAGGATTTCTCCTAGAGACGGAACAATCAGTTTTGTTTTTCTCCATTTCTCATTTTTCAATCTTTATTTCCTTCCATTTCAACAGAAATTTGGGTGGGATGGCAAAAGTTAAACTGACACAAAAATCTATATATGTGTTGTATGAATTTCCCTTCACAATTTCCCTTAATACACCTATTTTGTATACAGTCCCTAATATATGTATTTCCATGTGCAATTTTAATGGAAAACTGCATCAAAACATCACAAGAAGTGATTATATCAAGTATAACCATATTTTGGTTTTGTGCATTGGTTCAGGAAGTGTGAATTGGGTAAGTTTGCATTAATCAAAGTGTGAGCTTTTTTTTTTATCCCTACTTTTTTTAGTCAGTTTCCAATGTGAGACCCAGACATGCTCCAATGAAAAAGCAAGTCGAAAGTCAAAGATATATTTAAGGTATCAACGCTGAGATGAAAGGGTTCCGTGAAATAAGCTCTAGAGCAGCCCAAATCTTTTTTTTTTTTTAGTTTCTGGTATAAGGTGTATACATACATTTTTAAAGTATGAGATATAAATTTAAATGTCCGCATGAATTCATCAAGCAAGATTCAGTGCTAACAGCTTTATGAACAGAAACACTGCGAGGAGCCAGGAACCTTTGGAAACAGCTCTCAGGATGAAAGAACAGCCCTGGCACAGTAGGCAGGGCCAACGGAAGGTCAAGTCTGGGGGCATCAGACCGTGGGGCTCCATCCATGAATACATTGTGCAGCATTGGCATTCACATGACACTGACAAAACTTCGAGGCAAGATGCAAGCTCCACCAGCCCGCCCTAATCAAGAAATGAGTGTTTTGGTCCATCTCTGTATGTTTAAGGACCTCCTAGCTTCTACTTGGGACTGCAGGTGGCGCAGTGGTTTAAACCGCTGTGCTACTGGGCTGGTAGATCGAAAGGTCACCGGTTCAAATTTGCACAACGGGGTGAGTTCCCATTGCTCTGTCCCAGCTCCTGCCAGCCTTGCAGTTCGAAAGCATGCAAATGCAAGTAGATAAAAAGGTACCACTTCAGTGGGCAGGTAACAGCGTTCCGTGCACCTCAGTGTTTAGTCATGCTGGCCGCATGACCATGGAGACTGTCTGGAGACAAACGCTGGCTTCCTCCGCTGGGAAACAGAGATGAGCATCACCCCCTAGAGTCAGGCATGACTGGACTTAATGTCAAGGGGAAACCTTTACCTTTACTTTAGCTTCTACTTGTGTTTGGTCCTGTCTGAAGGCAGCATTAGATACTGCCCTTATACAAAAGGAGGGAAATGTTCCATGTTAATTACATTTCAGTAAACAGGAACATACTTCATACACAGAAAAATCCTTCATGGCATGACCATTGAAATATTAATGAAAATGCAGAATGCTGCCCCAAGGAGCTTGAGAAAAAGAGAGTGAGAGAGAGAGAGAGATGTGCTTGAACCACGAATATGCATAAATGAATGCAGTTGTTCTAATCAGTAATAATCCAGTACTGCTTCTCATTTATACTGCTATGCTTCAGCTCATTCAAATTAAACAAAAACAAAACAATAACCCATTTTGCTAAGTTGTAATAGACTTAGTGAAAAGCACTAGGACAGTGGAAGAGCTCGATGTGGGCTTTTATCCTTATATGACTTCACATCTAGATATGGTTAGTGTGGAAAAAACAGGCTAATCCTATTAAAATGAATTCAAGAGGACAAGAACCATACCTCAACCCAAGGAAGGAGTTTCTTTTGGACCATTCATACATGTAACAGCCCCCCTGCTCATATCCAACGCCAGGCAGGAGCAGACTGCTGGCTTACAACCTGACCAGGATAGCCCAGTCACATGGTTTTTATAAACAATCAGTGGTTGTCCAATTCCCATAATTGCACAGACACTTCTTCAGCAGGCAGCCATCAAAGAAACATTTTCCATTAAATCACATTCAACCAGGGCAGGCAATCTTTAATGCACAAATAAAATATTCTGTTACAAAGAGAATTATTAGCTTTTAAAAAGCCCTTTTATTTATATTAGCAAAACAAATTTTGATTAGTTTCCTTATTTGCATGCTAATGCAACTCCTCAAATTGCTCATCAGCTTATCATATCATCATGTTTTCTGTGCATCATTCTATAAAATGTCTAATAATTTACTATGCAGTAACAGTGATAATTTAAATAGGTATACTACATTGCCAAATCTACTTGAAAGCTCTGTATGCTAGGCCCCTGGAGACCACACAGTATGCCACCAAAAGCTGTAAAGATGCTAAGCAAACTTCATTTCACCAGATTTGCTTGTTTTTTTTTTTTTACCCCAAATTATTGCTTGATGTTCTTGTAATGGCCAGGATTAATTGAATTTCAATTGAAATCTGTGCGGTAGTTCAGACATATGCCATATAATAGGTCCTTTGCCATTAAGACTACAATTTTTATGGTGTGTGTGTGGGGTGGGGGGGAGGAAGGGAGAGGGATGGAGAAACAGCATCTCAGAATCATTGGCTAGCTGCTGAGACTTCTTAGAATAAAGATTAACAAGAAGCACAGCTTTATCAGAGTACCCTTGGCTTCCAGAGGCTGAAAAATAATCTCATCCCATGATAATTGGTAAATTTCCTCCTTGCCATATGAATGGATTTGTTACGCCTACTGGCCGCATGAGGAACACAACCTTTAAAATGCATGGCATCTTATTAAATGAGGGTTTTTTTAATAGGAGTAAGAACTAACTTTCAGAAGAAAATCTTCCTAGACTTTCTTGTCCGACATTTATATGTGGAATAACTAGTTGCTTTTAGATTAAATTAAAGCAATGTAGGTGCTGAGCTTCTGCTTCAAAAGGGGGGGGGGGGGGG